ACGGTCCAGAAAGTGGATCTCTGAAAGATTACAGATGCGATTAACAGTATGTTTGCTGAAGGGCAAGCTTCAGAGCCTGACGCAGTAAAGATGGTTAATGTGCTATGACTGTGGCTGTAACACAAAGGGGGGGGGGGGTAAATGGGAATTACACAGAGATGAGTATGCACCCTTTCCTGCGTCGTAACCAAGTGTTTGGATAGGTTCAGTCTGAAAATAATTGGTATCATACAAACGACCACATGATTAACTGCAGGTAAAATGTTTTTGCAGGTGAGGATGTGAAGGTGAATGTGGACAATTTAAGAAAGAAACTGGAATTTAACATTATGACTTATTGTGTTGATATTTAAAAAGATTGCTTTTATTAAACTAACACGCAAAGGGTCGGCAGTGGTAGCTACACTGTACGACGTTCCCTTGTTGATGGATACAGACCACAGAAGTCTGCTGGTGATCCTCATCAAGATGAAAGATACTAAGTGAATATTTTGAGACTGTGGGAAAGACAGCACACACACACACACACACACACACACACACACACACACACACACACACACACACACACACACCCATGCATGTGTTCTGATCTGCTGACATCCAGCACAGCTACAGTGCACCACTAATGGGAACATAAAGATTTGTGTAAATCAGTCATGGTGTTAGTGGGAGATGAGCTGAGACACAAGCTGAAGATGTCCCTCTCTCTCTCTCTCTACCCCTCCAGGGTAACAGCTTAATGGCATACAACTTCTTAATATACAGGCCGAGACAGCAGTGGGCATCAGTAACTAACTCACTTGCCCTTACTCGTCAATAATGAGGCCTGGCAGCAGCTGAGAGGAAGACGTGCAGGCAAGGCATGCACTTCATCACTCTGTAGTCTTGTCAGGGAATCAACACCTAACCTCACACTTGCAAACACAAATACAAAGTGTCAAAAGAAATTCAATGCCTGAGTTAACAGTTACAAACAAAACTGCTGACATTAACTTGGGACAGTTCCAGAGTGGACCCTGCTCAGGTGTTTTGGTATCTATCCCAGGTGTCTTCTGTCCCTGTCATTTCGTCCACTCATCTGTTTTAGCTCTCTCTCTCCTTCCTGTCTGTCTTGCGGTATCTAAATATATCCTCCTCTCCTCTCTCTGTATGAAATACTGTTCTAACTCATAGCAGCCACCCAGTCTAAAGTCCTCCTCCACAGGTTTAAACATTAATGCTTTTAATAGGCAGGTGAGCATTGCTTTAAATTTGATAAGAAAGTGATCTCACATAACAGACATGACGGTGGAGACAGTCAGATGAGAAACCGTGTTTCCACTGCAGTAGGTTTATGATACAAACTGGGTGAAGCCAAAAGTGTCAATAAGAGCCAGAGAATAACAAGCCTTATTTAAGAGAATATTCAAATGATATATAATTTGAATGGATTAACACGGTGCGAGATAAAGTCTCTACATTCTTCTAAAACTATTAATAAGATCCAAAAGTGATATTAAATTAAAAATAGACTCAAGTGATGATGCTTTAATCTTATGGTAAGAAAAGGTTAGTTTAAGCCATGATGATGCTGAAGAATCAAATCTTATCGGTAAGATTTTGAACATCTGATATTCATCAAACCAAATTTGAGGATCTTGATTCTGGATGTGATTAAATGATTTGTGATAATTCAAACTTCATTGATCAGTGCAACAGAAGTGTTTGTGCCAAGCGCTCAGCTAGTGGGCCGGTCACTGCTCTTAACTCAAACCGTAGCAGATACATTAGAAGTAGAAATGGCTGCACCTTAAGTTAATTTACTATCTCCTGGTTTGGGTGTTACACAACCACCATAACTTCAAACTCACAATTTTTCAACTTCTTTTTGTTTTGCTTCCCCAGCAAAGCTGCGGCTGATGAAACAATGATGAAATGAATCTCTACAGTCTGTGCTGGTGAATTACTGTAAGTTATTTTTGAAATCCCAGGGGGGGAGATTTTGATTGTGTTCTGATTGGCTGCTTCCCGCTGCAGAATCGGAGTGACGACTGACGCCGCTCCCTCTTGCCCACCACCCACCCCCGCCCCTCTCTCTCTTTCCCAAGATAATCCGTTGAAAGTTGGTCAAACACTGCTGCAAGTCCGCCACTCGACGAGCTTCAAAGTAAAATCTCACAGTCTTCTTCTGCGTGTCGTAGCCTGGGAGCGCGGGCCGTCCCCGAGCTCCAGCTCCCCGCAGATCGCAAAGGTGGTTGCTGTCACTGTGCTTAATGAAGACCTTGCATTCTATTTCATCAACCCTTTCTTCTTCTGCTACCACTACGGATTGCATATGGTGATTTCATCATTAATATGTGCTCGTCTCTTCACTAATGAGTACACTGATTTCAAAGTTGTTTCATTTGGAGTGCTCTCATGACAGATTTCATTCCGCAGCTTTTTTGTGAATGCACTTTTTTTGCTGATGGTCGGCATTAAACTTTCAAGTCGTCAGGGATAAAACGTTTTGGACATCTGGGTAGGAACAATATGAAAATAAAAGAAAAATGAAGAAATTGTGAAGGAAGAGGGAGAGATCTAAAGGTGCAGGCATACTAATGTGGCTCTCAGTCTAGAACCTGATGACCTTTCAAGCTCAAACAATTACAGAGGACAGTCATTTCCTCACTCCTCCATTTCTCCTTCCTTCTAATCCCACCTCATCTTTGTTTCCCTCGTTTATCTCATCTCCTATCCTTCGCTTTCCTCCCCTCTTCTCTCTGCATCTACTCCTCTTCTATTTTTTTTTCCACGCTGCCTTTTACCATTTCACCTGTTAGTTCCGGCGCAGCGTAAAGCAGATCCCCTTTTCTCCCAGTGGTCGCAGAACCAACTTAATCAGACCCCAAGCAACAGCCCTCAGTTCCACGTCCTCCTGCAAGACACTGATAGAAGTGCTGCTTTGTTTTCCTGCTAGTGTTAATTATGTAACCCAATTATACCATCACAGAGCTGACGCAGGGAAGCTAAATTAAAAGTGATTGGCTTCATTACAGTCACTTGAATGTTGCACAGGGTGCTTTCAGGAGGTCCTATTTAAAGTTACTTCCCTGGTGAAAAACCTTCCGATCTGTAGAAAGTCATTATATTGGATTTCTAGAGCGACTGCAGCATATATTTAGCACAAATTGGATTTTTGTTTATTTCCATAAGTATGCAGCATATAGATTGATGTTTAAAACCACCATGTGATCTACAGGGCTCTTTTGCTTCCAGTCATGTTGCTGTGCTTATTTGTGTTGTAGCACTGCCAGACAAGTCATTACCGCAGAGAGACAAAGCCAAAAGGCGTTCGTTCTGCTGCATTAGAACTACCTGGGAGCTTTCAACCCTGAAAGGCCATAATCTGCATATATTTCTCCTGGATGTGACCTGTGATCCATCCAACTTTCTCGTTCGGTGAGCCGCACCTTTCTTGCCATCCATTCCTGATGGTGATATGATAACAAGTTTAATAGCAGACAATCATGTTCACTCACACAGTATATTTGATGCATTCATGTATTTGTAACACTGAAAATGTCCAAAAGTGAAATATCAGCAACTGTAATATATACTAGTACAGATACAACTTATTTTTTGTATACCATATTTTTGTATGATTAACAATGGAACACTCTGTCTTCTCTTCTCCCTCTGATGTATGTTTGCGTTCATGTTTCAAATAAGTTTGGTTTTAATGAGTTATTTGATTATTATTTGGGAACAAGTGAAGATGTGTTGTCCATGTTTACATACAGTCTATACTTTGTCATTTGAAAGCAGGTTTGTGATTAGAATTTTGACCTAATGATGCGATAAGACGAAAAGTCATAACTAACTTTACTAAATTTCATCCTGTGGGGAATATGAATGTCTCAACTAAATTTCATTGCAACCTATTGAACTGTTGGTGAGATATTTCCAGCCTTGTAGCACCACTAAAGAAAACCTTAGTGGATGACCAACATTAATAATAATAATAAGATTCAGTGAATGAACAAAATATTGTGCCGGTCCATCCAGCACAGTGTAACTAATGTTACTAATGTAAACAAAACATGACCTGCAATTGCTGCTATATGAAAATTCATTGGTTTACTAGATTCATTAGAAATTATCCTCTGGGCAACACAGCTTTTGGACCAAATTTCATGGCAATTACACCAACAAATGAGATGATATCCTACTCAAAATTGAAACTGTCAAGACACTGATGTTAGAAGGCAGCACTCATTCTCTTCTCCTCTACGTTCTCCTCTGTCTCTACTGTCTTTCTCAAATAAAGAAACAATCAAATGTCAGAAATTGACAAAAGTCATTAGGAACTAAACCACATCCACTTCAAATCCACACGAAGAGCTCAGATAAAACAGACAAATCTCATATGTGACTTTTTTTTTTAACTCTGACAAATTAAACAGTATTAATAAGATTGAGTCTATACTTGCTGTGTCACAACAGATAATATTAATTTAATCAATATTAGGCCAGATTCTAACATGATGCCTATGAATTAGTTTTTCTCTCCACCGTCCTCTGTCATTACATTCATGCGACTACCCAGAAAAGTGGGTCAGATTATGACAAAATGAAACTGTGAGCCAGTCCCTGCCTCGTTGGGACTCAACATCAGAAAGATGGCGTGAGGCTCTGCGACAGTCTGACGTCTTGTCCAGAGGATGTGTTTGTACATCCCCTGGACAATCTGCCTCGGGCTACAAAACAGAAGATTAGCTCTGTGGGCTGTTTTGAAATTAAGACTCACACACACACACACACACACACACACACACACACACACACACACACACAGGATAGAGACTGCCTTCTTTCCTCTTGGCTTGCATATTTAGTTGCTTGTTTTCAAACTTATGTACTTTTTTAGAAATCTTCGGGTACTGACTTATTTTCAATACAACCCCCTTGACCTACTTCTGAAGACAAAGCGTTTTTCTAAGATACCTCTGACATGCAGTTTCTTTAGAGTTGATGAATTTCTCTGAAGTAACTTGATCCCAAATCCACTGTATGGGCACTGACACAAATGCCTCCACTTGATCAAGGACCAGATCTACCTGGAGAGACAGACACAGAGGGACAGGGACCGTGACGAGGGAAAGAGTCGAAGGGAAGGAAGAGGGGAAGGAACGAAATGGGGGATAAGGACGGGAGGGATCGGGGGAAGACGAGGGTTGAGGATGCGGAGGAAATGCATTCAGCTCGGTTTAAGTGTGACTGCCACACTTTGCTTTATATTTAGCTTTCATGAACAGAGAGAGCTATATTTATACACCAAACCAAAAGCAATGCCTCGCTCGACTTGCTGCTCTTTCTTTCATTTTGAATCCACGGTCACTACTGACGTCTGCCTTCCATGTATGAATCAAGGATGAAATTTAAGCCTGGTTTTTACGGTGTCATGATACAGAGGAGTGGAGAGGAGTGATGCTAACCAAACACAACACAATTAACTTTCTCATTGCTGCATCACACTTGTGTTCATATGCAGCCTTTCAAACTTAACACCCCCCCACTCTCTCTCTCTGTTCTCCACCCACCTTTTTGTTAGCATCTGCACTCATTTCGCTTCTCTCACTCGCTTTCTTCTTCCCAACATTTCTTCTCTCTCCAAACTCCTACACTTTCCAGCCTCTTCTCCTTCGGCTCAGTCATTCCCTCCTCCATAAAGTGGTTGTAAGCACTTTCAACACGGCCCCCAACATGAGGTATGAACCAACACTGCCCCCTAAAGGCTGAAGGAACTAGGGAAAACTAGTAAAGATGTTGAGAGAGCTGGAGACATTTTTTTACAGATTGCTCATTGACATTATATGTTATACTGCAGTAATCACTGAATAAGCTACATAAAACTTATACAGATTTCTGTTCTGAACTCATAAACATGTTTAAATGCATCAACCTTTTATTCTCTTCTGTCAAAATATATCGTGTATTAGTATGGTTCATTCACTTGAATGTGTCATTTTTCCTCGGAGAAAGCAATGCGCTGCAAAGACACTTTTATTTTTATATAAATGCTGAAATGACTGTCCGGGTATGAATATAATTGCAGTTGTATGTCAAAATGTAGCACAGAGCTGGTGGCTATGAAAAGGACTTGTCCCGCAAAGGTAATAATTTATGTTCAATAATGGCAACAGAAGAGAAATGTGACAATTAAAAAGTCTTGCCATTAGCTTAAAGTTTAGTCTCTGTGTTACAATTAATTACCCTCTGATGGATTTGGACTCACATAACCATTATTTGCCACATTTTTCTCAAATGTTGGCTCCATCATTTCAGGAGCTATAAAGTATGAATGTATTTTTGGAGAGCCTGACAAATGTTTAATTGAAGCTCTGATGTGATAAGATGTATATTTTTTGCAAAGTAGTGTTTTGTAATGTTGCAGTATAATTATAGACATCAGCATCTCCATTAAGAAAATTACAATTTTTTACAGTCTGTGAAAGGCATTGACCAACTGCAAGTCACTGACATTCAGTATTCAGGCAGGGTGGATTCAGACTTAGCACACATCCTCACAGTGTCCATCAGTATAACAACACTCTTCAGCCAAGAGGTTTTAGAGCGGAGGGAAACACACCCCAGGTTCAATTATTACCTTTTTAAAAACAAAATGAGTGTTGACATTGTTGTTGTTTTTAAATGTGGGTAAACCATCAAAAAAGATGTTTGCATCAATTGCGATTGCCAGTCTGAGTTTGCCTTTCTGTTTTTTTTCCTGCTGTGTCACGTTCAACGTCACTAATGCTCTGCAAAACAGGGCTAGTCTGTGTTTTTCCCACAGAGGCATCAAAGCTTCATTGCCTCTGTGACACACATCACATCATCACAAGCATATTTTATGATGTCCTACGGGTCACTTTTTTTAAATTATTGCCATTTGGAGCTGCAGCCAATAAATACCCCTGACTACTGCAAAGTACTTTGACCTGGGACTGAATACTGATTGTACCCTTTTCCCAACGGGTGTGGGCTTGTTTTGTCCAGTGTAAAAGGGCCGTTAGTAAGAATTAACACCATAAAATGTCGAACTTTGAAGAATAGATATTAGCGATTAATTAAGATCCTGTCTCTGACTTTCTCTAAAATACTCACAAAACACTTGATTCCGTGCAGGGGAGCCATTAAGCGGGAGACTCTGAATAAATCAAAGGAATGGCAAAGGATATGTCTCTTTGTCACAGCTGTTGTTGATTGTCTTTTAAGTGCCACATAATTTTAGCATCTGTGGATTTATATAACAAGTATTGGCCTTATGTCTGTTTGTTTGTTTAAGTAAGAGCTGTTACCCTTCAAGATGTATTTCCTCTGCAATTTTCACTGAAAGTACCACTTAACAGTGAAGGCCGTATGGAATGCTTAAAAAAAACAATGCGTAAAAGGGGTTGAAAAGGTGCAGTGAAGGACTGCGAGTGAAAGTATGACGTGGATGAAAACAGAAGTTCCTGATGTACTTCACTGTACTAGCATCGGTTTGTTGTATTCCCAATGGCTGTGACTGACGGTATGAGGAAAAGTGATTGTCAAATTACTCAAGATCATAAAGATGCAATGTTATGTGCATAATGCAACAGTGAGTAAGACGACTAATTAGTCAATCCAAATGAATCTTGCTACTGGCAGTGGGTATTAAGTATCCAAGATCAAGTCCCGTGAATTACTCATTTACATTTCTACTCGTGCTTGCTTTTAAATCACAAGAACATTTGAATTTTACAATTCAACTGGATTGGCGGCATTCTTGTTTTCTGGGGAGGCAGTTCAGGCGCCCACATCCCTGATCGGACTTGCAAATTTAACGACTGGTAGATATCAGTCTCTGTTGTGCGTAAAACTACTGTGAACTAATAACTAACAAAGAAACCGACACAGGGTTGTTGGGTAAATAAGTAAACCTTTGATAGACGATCCGTCCATCACAGATATCAACATACTAGTGAGTGTACAGAGACTCACATATTCAAGTGGATTGATGAAGTTTAATTACCCATGAACACCTAGATGAGTCAGGCTATGTGCTTCTTGCTTTGAGGCAACAGTGATACTGGCTTCAACAAGCTACTTAATTGGCTCCAGCTAGCTGTTACCACTGGTCCTGTATAGCTAGTGCTCCCTGCACGGGTGAAAACCCCTCACAAATACATCAACACATCTAATAGGAAAATGGTCCGATTAGTACATATTTTGACCATTAATAAAGTCAATTGATCTTCTCATTATATTAAAAATGAACAAATAGACGATTTAACACTCCGGCAGACGTGAGAAGAGTCATGAAGTCAGTGAAGGGACTCAGTGGCACTGCAATATATATCTACACTAGCTGACATCAATCTTCATAAGTTACTGGTCATGTCAGAACAAGTGAGACTGGAGCTGCATAACTCAAAATATATTACTTTAAGCAAAGGCACATTTTACTGACCATAAATTCAGACTTAAATTTTTAAAAAGACAAATGTACCGTTCCTTCTTTTGAAAGTTACATCAATGAAAATTTTTATTTGAGCTACCTGGTTATTGAAAATGTTGAATTAAAACTTTATTAAAGCTTATTCTAAAATGGTGACGAGTATTTTTACAGTATGATGTAGCAGAGTCACTTCCATGTGCTTTTGAGATCAGACAGGAGTTCTCTTATCTGGGGGTATAATTATGTGCACGTATGTTCCAACACAATGTGTAAGTACCACCATGTGTCCAAAATATAAAAACAGTCCAAATACAGTGAAGATCATTTCTCATTTCAAATTCCTCATAATCTCACATTCATCTTCTCTCTCATAGTTGTTGTCTATAATGTGTCTTAATTTCCCTGTGAATCACTGTCCACTTCCAATAGTGTCACAGTGTTTGGCTGTTAAACAAGGATGGTAACCGTAATTACCTTCTCCCTCCAGACAACATGAACCTCTGTGCTGTGTCATCTGTTCTCTTTGTTGATCCGTGTGACCCCAAAAGGATTAGGAAGTGACCCCAGCCTCAATGGTGCTACTGGAACACTGCCTAATGAGACACACACACACACACACACACACACACANACACACACACACACACACACACACACACACACACACAGAGAGAGAGAGAGAAAAGATGAGATGGGAAATAATGAATACCATCCCAGCTCCAGTGTTGACCCGAATATCCAATTACTGTCCATGTGGTGAAGCCCTGTGTTATCAATGGTGCAGTTCTGGTAAGTGCTGGGAATCTCTGAGTTTGAACATGAGTAAATAAAAGGACAAACCCATCTATTGTTTTTGCAATACTGCAGGTGACACTTTTGAATTCAAAGATTACCCAAAGATCTTTAACCAATATTCAAAGGTGAAATACTGTATTTTAAAAAAGACGACAATGCTATAGCAAGACTATAGTGACTCCACAAGGCTGTACCTGCTACCATCAGCATGCCACTCAGTGGCCATGCTGCTATACGTGCTAACATCACTATGCTTCTCAATTGCTATGCTACAGTACATGCAAACTTTAGCGGGCAACTCAATGGCAATATGTATATGTCTAAGATCCACATGGCCCTTAATGTTCATACCACTTTACATGCTAATATTACCATGCCACTCAATGGCCATGCTACTGCAGGTGCTAACTTCAGCATGCTACTCAAGGTACAGCCAATGCTGAAGTGAACGTCGTCTGCTCTGATGTTATTTGGTCATAAACTGTTAACTGAATGAATAAAAGCTTGACCCCATGATGATAAAAAGTCAGGGGATCACTAGCTTTTATCGTTTGGGGGCAATGAATGTCAGTAAAGTACTTCATGGAAATCCATCCAAAAGTTGTTAAGATATTTTGGGACCAACCATCAACAGAGAGGCCTTCATTCCCAGACTTGTTTTTTGTATTCCAATCTTAAATTACTGAAACAGCAGGTAATATTATAAGTACTCAAATTCAGTACTCAGGTCAGCAACCACAGGGTTGCACTCTAAATTTTAAATGCAAGTCTCATCGGCAACAGTTGTAACAGTGAGCCACACAGTCATGACCTCTGGCAGCTAAAAGTAACTGACCACGAACAGCACGGCACAAAGCCAGGTCTGCAGTCCTTGATTCGCTGCCAACACGACAGAACCAATGAAACAGTAATCTAAAGTACCACAGGGAGTGATGAAAGTTCAACTATTTTTTATCTCCACAAAAAGACATTTATGCTTGATTTGACAGTGATGGTTTGTGGCAGAGTCAATAAAAAGAATAAGGAGTGGCAGAGGAAAGTTAATCAACTTCATATTTGATTGAACTTTAACAATGAAGACTTCACTGTTGAAGCAAAGAACAAGGTTTAACAACAGAAAAAACCTGAACATTAAAAATAAGACAAGTTATTACAGCCAAAGTTTGGAAGAAGAACCACATTTTTAAAGACAAATTTGTGGCTTAGACGACACCTTCAAACTGTGTGTCAAACGTTCACATTAGTAAATACGCAAATGCAGCCAGTATGTCATAATCGCCCTGAAGAATCCAAGTACAGGAATGTGGGTCTTTTCACCCTTTTAACAAGATAAGGCAGCTAAGGTCACATTCCTATTTGCAGAAGAAACCTGGGGGAGCAGTTACATGTGATGAAATGGTTACACTAATTCACACACTCACACCTGGGAGCTGCCCAGTGTTACCACAGCATTATGCTGCAGTTCCTCTGAACAAATGAGGTATCCAAGTTCACTTCACAGTGAGACTCATTCACCAGTTAAAAAGACAGCCCTGGTTGTTTATGTAAGCAACATTTTTCATTTATGAATTGTCAGAAAATGCATAAAATATGCCAATCAATTTCACATAGCTAAAATAAGAATTTATCTTGAGTGAACATATGTAACAAAAATGCATATGTCATATTTTTACTATCAGAGACATCTGATAAAATAAGCAAATATTCATATTTGAACAGTTTTTGTCATTTTAGCTAAAAAGTAATTAATAGAATGATTCATTTATTCACAAAATGGTTTCAGGCTATTTTGACAGCTCAAGAGTCAGAGGAAGATGATAGTGAATCGACATTTTCTGTCACATGATTAACTGAAAAAGCTTTCCAGTCCTAGTCTGTTAGCAAAGTCAGTCAAATGGTTTTAAACTGTTGTGAAAAAAAGTTAGTAAGCTACTCCGCCCAAGAAAATATCTGACCACTTGACAACAATGTATCTTTTTACATTTTAGTTATTTTCTCACATATAAAAGGTTGTTCCAAGTTACATTTTCTCTTTATTCACAAGATGCTAAATATACATTACAAATCAAAACATGGCATTAATGGTAATACTGCTTTACAATTAAAACATAAAATTCAATACACTAACAGTCACTAACTGTCACACCTGGTACTGCCAGAAGGGTTTGCGTGGTTTACAAAATGTACGTGTTTATGTTGAGCATGAACTTGTCTTCAAAACACGGACCACATACAGTCTTACTTGGCAACACAGTTACTGGAACACAAAAAACATTTTACAGAACTGCAGTCACATAATCCCACCAAAAACTACTACAGTGACATTACCTATGAGAGTTCTGATCATGATCAATGATCCTCAAATACAGTTAAGAGCCTTAATAAATATACTACACTCTGCTGAACCCATGTCCAGCAGCTGCTTACAGCCTCGTCTGTTTGTGAAGGACAGACAGAAGTCACAAAAAGTCCACTTTCTTTTATGCTCACCCTTTAAACTTGAGGTGATTTTACCCACATTCATTTCTGCCGGTGTGTGTCCTTGTTTTCATATTCATGCTTTTTCCTTTCAATCCAATGGCAATCTGCTGGGAGAGCATCTCAGAAGCATTACATGTTTGGAATAAATCCAATCTAAAAAAAAAGCTAAAATAACTTTAAGGCTATCAACTTGATGGAATTGGGGACTGTGAAAAGAGCCACTGGCAAAGTTGTCTGGGTTCCTGACATTTCAGAGATGCAGTTTGTGAACTCCCAAAGCAGTGAAAAATTGGTATCCTCTGTATATATTATGAACAAAACAATTTCTGTAGAGAAATAGAAGATTTATTTTATAACAGCATTGGCATAAATGACAAAAGCACTCTTAATATGATATTTTAAAAGCCAATGGTCATTATCTAAAATCTTTATCTGGACTCAGTTGGACAAATTCTCTACACGAACCATCCAATTAAATGCAAGTTGGGAGCACAGACTGAATATAAAGATGGATGAGATGACTGGTCCCTAAAAGTGAAACCAAAGTGGCTTGATCGTCATCTAGTGGCTGGCTGCAGAAAAGGTCATAAACCCTGCTTCCTCCATGTTAGCAGATAGGACATGGGCCAAAAAAAAGGTCAAAGTAAACACATAAAAGAAATCAACAAAGGGCATCAGTTTATCACAGAGATGAGAGGCAACCTTGCTCTGATGGGATAGATCTGCAATTCCTCTTGGTAAAAAGTGTCTCTCCAACAAAACAAGATAAGAATGCAAATGAGAAGGGCCCTTTCAAAGAGCGATAAATCAATAGTGTAAATAATAAAGAGGAATTGACGCTGCATCAGAACAGCAAAATGACAAAACACAATCTTTGGTAAAAGAGTACCAATTATTTCCTGTAGTCGTCATTTCAACCCCCTTTCACAATTTTAATCTCCAGCTCAACTCATCCGTCGATGTCACTGAACCTGAGGTGTACATAAAACATTTCCCGATAGTTAAATTTGTTACTGTTAAAAATGTTTCTGCATCCATGTTTTCTTTATTTTTCGATCCACCAAAATATCCCTCATAATTTTGGTCATATAAAACAGTTCTGCATCTCATCATTACCATTAAATGTCAGCATTCAGTGACAATGCGAGAACACTTTATGTAGCAAGGTCAAAAGTAAGGATGGAGAGGTTGGAGTGCAGGAGACATGTTACAGATCTGCAATCAGCCCTACTTTCTATTTACTGACACCACAATTCTCTAACCTGGTGTTGTGCCTGATCCTAACCATACATCAACGTCTTTCTTTCCTATACTTTATTATACCATAGTGGCAACCTGCAGATATTGTAGAAAGCAAATGTACATGMGATAAAGTCACTAAATGCAATCCAGGGTTTTATAGAATCACACACTGTCTATGTTTTTGTGTGGAAAAAGATTTGATCTTTCCCCAAGACTATCTGAAACTGTTAATGACACCAGTTCAAGATGACCTCATGTTTTATCTCCCAGTTCTTCCCTTTGCTTAAATCCATTGAGCATTTGTTACAACCATTCAATAGACTACTTCGAGCCACCCATTAATTTGCTGTACAACCTCTGAGGGTCAAAGGGGGGTTGGAGCCAAACCCAGCTGACACTGGCTGAGAGGCAGGTTATAGCTGAAACATGTCACCATGCCATCACAGGACTGCACAGAGATAACTTACAATTCATACCAACTTTGTACTGTAAACATATATACAATGAAGTTCACACACAATCAGAGTAATACATCCAGACACATCAACAGAGTAAAGGAGTCAGTCATGGTACAGTAGCTGTGATGTGTCAATCCAAGTAGCTATGTGATAAAACTGCTTCTGGGTAACTTCTGTGGCAAAAAGCCCAAAGTCTGAAAGTAAAGAAAGTTCACAGCTAATGGGTGGTGATGGGGGTTTTGTCTTGTAAATGATTCTCCCTAAGTGTGAGCTGCAGGGAAGCACTGTCATTTCAAACAAAGCAATTCAGAGTCTCTTTAATGGAGCTGTCGATTATTAAACAAAAGCCTAAGTAGAACACACATTAGAGGAAATGAAGACACAGGTGTGTACTCGACGGATCACGGAGAAGAAAAGTTATATGTAACAATGTGGTCACATCCAACACTGTCTCTAAAAAGTATAAGCAAAATGAAAACAGAAGTGCATTAGTATACAACTACAACAACAAAACTGTGACCCCCATTAAGAAAAAATCTAGCTTGTGTTGTGTGTAGAAGATTGAATATTGTTTAGAGTGACATAGAATGACATATATACATTATGAAGGGGCTCTA